AAAAAAGCTGGGCATGGTGGCTCATACCTGTAATCCCAGTACTTTGGGAGGCTGAGGCAGGAGAATCGCTTGAACCCAGGAGGCAGAGGTTGCAGTGAGCCAAGATTGCACCATTGTACTCCAGCCTGAGCAACAGGGGCAAAACTGTTTCAAAAAAAAGCTGGGCATGGTAGTCATACCTGTAATCCCAGCACTGTGGGAGGCTGAGGCAGGTGGATCACAGGGTCTGGAGTACAAGGCCAGAGTGACCAACCAACCAACATGGTGAAACCCCATCTCTACTAAAAATACAAAAATTAGCCAGGCGTGGTGGCATGCACCTGTAATCCCAGCTACATGGGAGGCTGAGGCAGGAGAATCACTTGAATCCAGGACGTGGAGGTGGCAGTGAGCTGAGATCATGGCACTGTACTCCAGCCTGGGCAACAGAGCGACACTTCATCTCAAAAACAAAAAAAATGGTTGTAGTGTATGTTTAAAAATAGTTAAGATGGTAAATTTTGTGTTATGTATTTTTTGCAATTAAAAAAAGTTGGCAATTAAAAAAGAAAGCTAAAAGGATGAATAGGAGGAAGGACCTCCTTGCCAAAAGAACAGAATGAAAAGTAAAAAGAAAAGAAAAAAGAAAAGAGAAGACGGTAGGGGAGGGAGGGAGGGAAGAAAGACAAATTTACAAAAAGGGAGGAACATAAAGAGTGTTGACAGTTACACAACAATGTAAATGTGCTTAATGCCACTGAACTGTATGTTTAAAAATGGTTAAAATGATAAATTTCCTGTATATTTTAGCAGGATTTTTTAAAAAGGGGGAAAAAAGAGTAGGTTCCAATTTTTCAGAGAAACCATTTTGAATGATGAAACACCCACAAACACATCTCAAATCCCAACTTAAACCCCAACTTCTTCCATCAGAGTGATCCTACGATAACACTTTGGTATAAAAAGTCCTTTTTGTCTATGGACCATAGAAACAAAATCCACGTACTGAAAAAGAAGCACCGACAGGTCTTCGAATCCACTTGGGTGGCTTCTTCAGAGGCAGCACTATACTATGCTGAGCAGTCTGCTGTGGAATTTGCAATGGAGGAAGGGGTTGTCCTGTGCCAAAGGGATCAAGATTCCCAAAAGATGATGAAAGCTAAAAAAGATAATAACATCAGAATCTGACCATACAACAAACTATGCTTCATTTTTTTCCAGTCACATCCAAGAAATTTTTTGATCACAATTATCCAATTAACCAGCATTGTTAATCAGTAGTCATTTCAAAATAATTACACAATACATATTTTTTCAGGTATTATAATAGAAAATTTTAATACTTCCTATTACCTTGTCAACTTGTTTCTGCCTTAATCTATCTGTGCTCCCTCCCATGATAGAATAAACACTGATACGCCCATCGAACGAAGCAGCTGATAAGACAGCAGGATTTCGGGGACACCACTGAATATCAAAGCACCACTGTGTGTTGGTGGGAAGTTCATATAACACCTAGGCCAACAAAAAACAAACAACGAATTCAGAAAATGGCATGGCCACTTTGTAACCAAAACACCTGAATTAATGTGGTCAACAAGTACAGCTAAATTAAAAAAATTTTTTATAGAAAGTGTCTTTAGCCAGAAACAAGAGTGGATACATTTGAAAGAGCAGTACACTTTATTAGTCAATATGGTGGGTTTTTGTTTTGTTTGTTTGTTTTTTGAGATAGGAGTCTCGCTCTGTCGCCCAGGCTGGAGTGCAGGGGCAGTGACCTCAGCTCACTGTGACCTTTGCCTCCTGGGCTCAAGCAATTCTCCTACCTCAGCTTCCCAAGTAGCTGGGATTACAGGCGCCCGCCATCACACACAGCTAATTTTTGTATTTTTAGTAGAGACAGGGTTTCACCATGTTGGCCAGGCTGATCTCGAACTGCTGACCTCAAGTGATCCGCCTGTCTCGGCCTCCAAAGTGCTGGGATTACAGGCGTGAGCCACCACGCCTGGCCTAGGCTCAACTTTTTAAACTCTAAAAGGTCACTAATGTCCTGTCCAATTGTTTTTCTCTGGTTAAGACCCAATCAACCATATTTAGATTACTTTAGGATCAACTTCTAAAATCAATCTTGAGAGGGAAGAATTCACTAAGAAATCTGACTTTTAATCAAGAGAGAAAACATGTACTGTACACATCCTTCCTATCACAGCAGAATCCTAACAGAATCCGGATTAACAGCTTCTTTTAGAAAGAAAAGGACATAAAAAGAACTACAGAAAATGGCCTATATGAGGCCAGGAATAGTGCTCACACCTATAATCTCAGCACTTTGGGAGGCTAAGGTGGGCAGACTGCTTGATCCCAAGAGTTCAAGACCAGCATGGGAAACACAGCGAAACCCCACCTCTACAAAAAAATTTAAAAATTGGGGAGTGGGGGGTGGCAGGGAACATTAAAAAAAAAAAAAAATTTGACAAGGCATGGTGGTGCACGCCTGTAATCCCTGCTATCTGGGAGGCTGAGGTGAGAGGGCTGACTGAGCCTGGGAGGTCAAGGTTTCAGTGAGACATTATGGTACCACTGCATTCCAGCCAGGGTGACAGCAAAACCCTAACGAAAAAATAGTAGTAGTAATAAATAAATAGAAAATGGCTTATGTGAAATCTTTACAATGTAAAGCTTGTTGTGAATTCAAAGTTAGTATGGTGGTTAACTGCTATTCACAGAAGCAAAATCTTAGGACTTTACAGTAAGTCAAATGAACTTAACTCTGGCTTCATGTGACCTTTTTTTCTTTTTTCTTTTTTTTTTTTTCAGACAGGGTCTCACACCGATGACTAGGCTGGAGTGCAATGGTGCAATCTTAGCTCACTGCAGTCTTGACCTCCTGGGCTCAAGTGATCCTCCCACCTCAGCCTCCCAAGTAGTTAGGACTATAGGCACATGCCACCACAGCCAGCTAATTTTTGTATTTGCTGTGGAGATGGGGTTTTGCCAGCCTGCCTTGGCCTCCCAAAGTGCTGAGATTACAGGCATGAGCTAACACACCTGGCCCATGTGACATTTAAAATGTTTTATTTTATAAAAAAATAGAATTAATTGAAAAGGTAGTTAGCGTTCTCATGTCTTTGGTACTTATTTTGGTTGATAAGGTATGCAGTTTGAGAATACTTAAATCATTTATCTATTCCTTATTTATATTTGAACAAAATCTAATTTTTTAGTGTAGCATGTACTAAAAGTCTCTTCCTTCAAAGTCCATGCACATACAACACATCACAGGTAAAAATTTATTTTATTAAGTTATATAACAGAGAAAATGATGACAAAATAGTAAGTTCCAAGAATTCTGAATTTACTTGGCAAGGCAGAGTATAAAATTAAGATTTTTGTTATTTGTCCTAAATGATATGTGGTAAAATTTATTACTTTTTTTTCTCTTGTCTCCCCTAACTTTAATGATTTTATATTCTCACACTGTTACATCCACAATTTTTAAACCAGAAACCAAATAACTAAAGGGCTTGTTTTAATTTTAACAATATAGAATGAAAACTTATCGAAGACACTCATTTTTATTAGCGTTCCGTCAAACTACATAATCACTAGCAATAATCTACCTTAACATAAAAAAGGTAAAAATATAAAAGCTATAATTTATATTCTTGCTTTATCATTCAGAAGAGAGATTGGAAAACTATATCTACCGATTTCCAGAAGTGAAAGAGGATCCTCAGGAATGGTAAAGCAGGCAAAAGATGCAAACCTTGAACAATCCTACATCGAAGATACTGATTTCCATAAACCACATGTGAAATAAATCAAAGTATTTCTGAGTCTAGGTAATAAACACATTATTGGAAATGAGGAGAGGATGATTACTAGTTTCAAATATATCATTTTCAATTACTGATTTTTCTGGTTAAAAAGCTGAGCTTAGATAATGTTCCTGATAAAATTTCTGCCAAATAAACACTGCACACACACCTCCACATACTTTTCACATAGTAAGCCACTAAAGAATCCACATAGAAAATTTCTTATACAGCCAGAAGTAATATACTACAAGGGCTACAAGGTTGAGAAACATTTCCTCCCCATACCTCTCCTGTGTTTGGATTGGAGCAGAGAATCTTAGCATCTTTTCCACAGCTCAGTAACAATTCAGGGTCAGCCATGCTCCAAGCAATTGCCAAAATCCCCCTATAAAAAACACAAAGGAACAAGGAAATTTTTAATCTTGAGAAAACCAAATCTCAATTACTTCTGCCTAAGCTTTGGAGATTCACACATTAATGGAAATACAATTAAATGCAAGAGTTTTAACACCGGGCATGCTGGCTCACACCTGTAATCTTAGCTACTTGGGAGGTTGAGGCAGAATTACTTGAATCCGGGAGGCAGAGGCTGCAGTGAGCTGAGATCACACCACTGCACTTCAGCCTGGGCAACAGAGTGAGTGAGACGCCGTCTCACTCAAAAATAAAATAAAATTTAAAAAGAAAAAGAAATAAAAATAAGTGCAATCGTTTCAGAAGACAACTTAGTAATGTATATGCTAACTGATCATAACAAAGACATAGATGTTCAATATAGTGCAATGTATGATAGCAAAAAAAAATGAAAACAAATGCACAACAGACTATTTCATAATAAATTATAGACCACCTTTCAATGAGAAAATATGTAAATAAAAATTATTCTGTATACTTTGGGAGGCCAAGGCAGGAGGACTGCTTGAGGCCAGGAATTCAAGACCAACCTGGGCAATATAACAACACTCTGTCTCTACCAAAAAATTTGAAAATTAGCCAGGTATGGCAGTATGTGCCTACAGTTCCAGGTATACTCATGAAGCTGAGGTAGGAAGATTACTTGAGCTCAGGAGCTCATGGCTGCAGTGAGCTGTACTCTATCCTGGGCAAATAAGCAAGACCCATTTCAAAAAATACACATATCATTTTGTGGAAATCAACTTTTTATCATTATACAGTATTCATGATTAACGAAAAAGGTTATCTATATGCACAAATTATCCCATTTGTATAAAAACTATATTGGGATCACACACACACACACACACACACACACCCCTTAGATATGTATAGTAAAATGTTTACCTATGGATGGGGATGAAATCTAACTGCAGTAAGTCCTTACTTAATTTGGAAACTGTGACTTTAAGCAAAACAATAGATAACAAAACCAATTTTACCACAGACTAACTGATAACTGATATGAACATTAAGTTCCTATGGTAGCCAGGCATGGTGGCTTATGCCTGTAATCCCAACACTTTGGGAGGCTAAGGAGGGTGGATCACTTGAGGTCAGAAATTTGAGACCAGCCTGGCCAACATGGTGAAACCCCATCTCTGCTAAAGCTATAAAAATTAGCTGGATGTGGTGGCGCCTGACAGTAATCCCAGCTACTCAGAAGGCTGAGGCAGGAGAATTGCTTGAACCTGAAAGGTGGAAGCTGCAGTGAGCTGAGATCTTGCCACTGCACTCCAGCCTGAGCCACAGAGGAAAACTCTGTCTAAAAAAAAAATAGTTCCTATATTTCTGATCACAAAAACATCATCAAATTTCTAAATAAAGATCTGCACTTTTAATATTAAACGCTGAAATAAATGTGACCTACATAAATTTTGAGAGAGACTAATAAAAACGAGATTTACCCACTTTTTGGTGATTCAGTGAATGACATTGGTTGTAGAGGCAGTGGATGGATTAAATCAAGAAATAAGTTTATAAAGTGAAAATTGTCAGGCTTCCACTTACCAAACAAAAAAAAAAAATGACAGATGCGATGATTAATTTTATACCATATTGTTTACTGCCATGAATTTCTATGATCATCATGTATGTTACAAATTTTTATTTTACAGTATGTTGTATTCATTCATTTTCCAACCTGGTTATTCCAGTTCCGGATCGCAGGTGTCCAGAGCCTATCATGGCAGCTCAGAGTGCAAATCGGGAACAAACCCTGGACAAGATACTATTCCATTACAGGGCCCACTCACACACACTCCAACACTTTTCATACTGGGATAAATGTAGACATACCAATTAGCCATTTGAAAATTAATCTGAAGATATCATGATACATCATCCCTAAACTTACCTTCTGGGATAAGAACATTCTCCTATATAATTACACATTCAAAGTATTTATTATTGGCCAGGAATAGTGGCTCACACCTGCAATCCCAGCACTTTGGGAGGCCAAGGCAGGTGGATCACGAGGTCAGGAGTTCAAGGCCAGCCTGGTCAACATGATGAAGCCCCGTCTCTACTAAAAATACCAAAATTAGTTGGGGATGGTGGTGCATGCCTGTAATCCCAGCTACTCAGGAGGCTAAGGAAGAAGTATTGCTTCAACCCAGGAGGCGGAGGTTGCAGTGAGCGGAGATCAGGCCACTGCATTCCAGCCTCGGTGACAGCCTGGGTGAATATGAACTATATATTAAAAATAGCATTGCATATCAATAATGTCTTTTTTTCCCCAAGACTCGGGGGGGGTAAGTATTTATTATTGATATGCAATGCTATTTTTAATATATAGTCCATATGCAAATTTCCTCATTATATCAATAATGTACTTTATAACTGCCTCCCACTCCAGAATACAATCATGCACGTCAAGAATTTCAAGGTATACAAATTCTACCAGATATTGGTGCCAATCCTACTCAAACTATTTCAAAAGACTTACAAAGAGGGAATCTTCCCTAACTCATTGCATGAAGCCAGAATCACTCTGATACAAAAAGCTAGGAAAAGACACAACAAAAAAAAAAACTACAGACCAATATTCCTAATGAACATGGATGCAAAAATCCTCAACAAAATACCAGCAAACAAAATCGAACAGCACATCAAAAAGATACTACACCATGGTCAAAAAGTGGGTTTCATCCCAAGGATGCAGGGATGGTTCAACACACGTAAGTCAATAAATGTGATCCACCACATAAACAGAATTAAAAACAAAACCCATATGGTCATCTCAATAGATGCAGAAAAAGCATCTGATAAAATACTGCATCTCTTTACCATAAAAACCCTCAACAAACTTGGCAAAAGAGGAACATATCTCAAAATAATAAAAAGCCATATATAACAACATAACAACCTCATACTAAATGGGGAAAAGTTGAGAGCACCCCCCCATAAGACTGGAATAAAACAAGGATGCCCACTTCCACCACTCTTTCCAGTTTCCATTCAACACAGTACTGGAAGTGATAGCCAAAGCAATCAGGCAAGAAAAAGAGCGAGCATCCAAACTGTAAATAAATACGGAAGTCAAATTATCTCTGTTGATGATAAGACTGTATACCTAGAAAACCCTAAAGATTCCTCCAAAAGACTCCTAGATTTGACAAATAAACTCAATAAGGTCTCAGGTAACGAAATCAATTCACACAAATTAGTAGCACTGCTGTACACCAACAGCAAACAACCTGAGAGTCAAATCAAGAACTCAATCCCTTTTAAGACAGCTGCAAAAATAAAATCCTTAGGAATATACTTAATCAAGGAGGTAAAAAATCTCTACAAGAACTATAAAACACCACTGAAAGAAATCACAGATAACACAAATAAATGGAAATACTTCCTATGCTCATGGACTGGAAGAATCAGTGCTGTGAAATGATCTCACTGTCCAAAGAAACCTACAGATTCAATACAATTCCCATCAAAGTACCAACATCATTTTTCACAGAATTAGAAAAGAAGAGCCTAAATAGCCAAAGCAATCCTAAGCAAAAAGAACAAACCTAGAGGCATCACATTACCCGACTTCAAATTATATGACAAGGCTACAGTAACCAAAATGGCATGGTCTTGGTATAAAAGTTGATCCACAGAGCAATGGAACAAAACAGAGAACCTAGAAATAAAATTAAGTACTTACAACCAACTGACCTCCAACACAACATATAATTGATTAAAGACTTAAACCTAAGACCAGAAACTATAAAAGTTCTAGAAGAAAACCTAGGAAAAACTCTTCTGGAAATTGGCCTAGGCAAAGAATTTATGACTAAGATCCCAAAAGCAAATGCAACAAAAACAAAAATAGACAAATGAGAGCTAACTAAACTAAAAAGCTTAAGCACAGCAAAAAAAAAAGAAACGTTATAGTAAACAGACAATCCACAGACTAGTAGAAAATATTTACAAATTCTGCATCTGACAAAGGACTAATACCCAGAATCTATAAGAAACTCAAACCAATCAGCAAGAAAAAAGCCAAATAATCCCATCAAAAAGTGGGCAAATGACATGCCTAGACACTTCTCAAAAGAAGATACACAGGTTGGGCACAGTAGTTAACGCCTGTAATACTAGAACTTTTGCAGGCTGTGGTGGGTGGATCACATGAGGTCAGGAGTTCGAGACCAGCCTGGCCAACATAGTGAAACCCTTCTCTAACAAAATTACAAAAATTGGCCAGGCATGGTGGTGTGCGCCTGTAGTCTCAGCTACTCAAAAGGCTGAGGCAGGAGAATTGCGTGAACCCAGGAGGCAGAGGCTGCAGTGAGCTGAGACTGTACCATTGCACTTCAGCCTGGTGACAGGGTGAAATTAAAAAAGAAGATACAAAAATGGCCAAAAAAATATGAAAAAATGCTCAACATCACTAATCACCAAGGGAATGCAAATTAAAACTACAATGAGATACCACTTTTCCCCAGCCAGAATGGCCATTATTAAAAAGTCAAAAAGCAATAGATACTGATGTGGTTGTGGTGAAAAAAGAACATATATACACTGCTGATAAAAATGTAAATTAGTATAACCTCTATCCTCTATGGAAAACAGTATGGAGATTTTTCAGAGAACTAAAAGTAGATCTAGTATTTGATTCAGCAATTCCACTACTCAGTATCTACCCAAAGGAAAGTAAGTCTTTATATCAAACACTGTTGCCCAGGCTGGAGTGCAGTGGCACAATCTCAGCCCACTGCAACCTCTGCCTCCTGAGTTCAAGTGATTCTCCTGCCTCAGCCTCCTAAGTAGCTGGGATTACAGGCATGGAGACATCACGCCCAACTAATTTTTATATTTTTAGTAGAGACAGGGTTTTGTTATGTTGGCCAGGCTGGTCTTGAAATCCTCACCTCAGGGGATCTGCCTGTTTCTGCCTCCCAAAATGCTAGGATTACAGGTATCAGCCACAGCACCAAGAGTGTCTTTTAAAGAAATCTATTTTATATGGTATCTTAGAGGACATTTAGATTTTTCTTAGTATTTTCTTTTTTAATCACATCATTGGCCGGGTGTGGTGGCTCACACCTGTAATCCCAGCACTTTGGGAAGCTGAGGTGGGCGGATCACCTGAGGTTAGGTGTTCAAGACCAGCCTGGCCAACATGCCGAAACCCCGTCTCTACTAAAAGTACAAAAATTAGCCAGGCATGATGGTGGGCGCCTGTAATCCCAGCTACTCAGGAGACTGAGGCAGGAGAATAGCTTGAATCCAGGAGGCAGAGGTTGCAGTGAGCTGAGATCGCGCTACTGTACTCCAGCCTGGGCGACAGCAAGACTCCATCTCAAAAAAAATAAATAAATAAAAAATAATAATAATCACAGCATCGTAGAACTAGAAGGGAATTTAAAGATCATCTCATATCCAACTCTTTCACTTATTAGAGGAAGAAAATTGAGAATTAGAGAAGTACACTTGGTATGTATAGTATTAAGACTCTGGGATCAGACTGTTTAGACCGGAAGTCAGTGCTTGCCTGTCATATAACCTTGAGCAAGTTTAACCTTGCTGAGCTTCCATTTCTGATCTGTAAAACGGGGCAATAATAGTACCTACACTATTAATGTTAGTAAGAGAATCAAGCTAATATGTAAAGTGCTTATAAACTTTACATGCTATGTAAATGTTAGCTGTTCTCCGTCTACCAAGTAGGCTCCCTAAGGGCAGGGATTTTTGTTTTATTATGAATCCTGGTACAGTGCTTAGTACAGGGTACATATTCAATGAGTATTTGTTGAATTAATGAATACAATCTTAAATAACATGAGAAAAAATATTAAAACTTCTCAAAATCAACACTTCTTTATTAAAAATCTGATTGAAGCATAACATCTACATAGCGTAACATTTTGACCAGACTTTTCTCCTTTATAAGAAGCTCAAGGAATTATCGCAAACATTAAGACTCATTAAGACAGGAGTATGGTGGCTCACACCTGTAATCCTAGCACTTAGGAAGCTGAGGTGGGTGGATCACTTCAGCCCAGGAGTTCAAGACCAACATGGGAAACATGACAAAACCCTGTCTTTAAAAAAATAGAAAAATTAGTTGGGCATGGTTCACACCTGTAGTTCCAAGTATTTGGGAGGCTGAGGTGGGAGGATCACCTGAACCCAAGGAGGTTGAGGCCTCAGTGGGCCAAGATCTCGCCACTGCACTCCAAGCCTGGGTGACAGTGAGATTCTGTCTCAAAAGAAAAAAAAAAAAAAGAAAAAGAAAACAAATAGAAGTTAAAAAGACTTCCTTCTAGCTGGGTGCAATGGCACATGCCTGCAGTCCCAGCTACATAGGAGGTTGACGCAGGATAATTGCTTAAGCCCTGGAGTTTGAGTCATCAGTGAGCCATGACTGACTACTTCATTCAAGCCTGGGCAACAAAGCAAAACTGTTTCAAAAAAAAAAAAAAAGTCTATTTATTTCTAAAGATGATAGATGAAAAAAGCTCAAAAGTACTTAGGAAATGTTACAGCATTAAAAGGAATGTGTCTGGGTATCTGAATATCAATCATAAGAAATTTGCAAAATTAGTAATAAAATTTAATGATACTAAAACTAGTAAGATTCCCACATCAGCTTAGAGCACCCACATATTATTAAAATTGAAAGCACAATGAACTATTTTCTCAAAAATGTTTGTTTTAAATTATCAATAAAAATTTAGAAATAAACTTTAAACTGTTGCTTAACATCAAATGTTATGGAAGACTCAACTTTTAAAGTATGACAACCCTAATAAAGGTCAAATGGTATAATAAATTTCAAGGGTCATCCCAAAGTACTGTAGTATACTAAATTTTGATCTATTAGTTATTACTTGAAATACGTGGAAAATTCTTTCACATATATTTGTTTTGTTATGCTATCATTTGGCTACCATTTTTGGGGGATATAAAATCAGATAACTATAGCTTAAAATAAAAATAAGCCACTTACACTAACATTTATAAAAGTACATTCCTTAATTAAAAAAAAAATACCTGATAATTTAAGAAGTAAATATGTTCAGAAAATAAACAAATCAAGTTCTTTAGAACAGCAGCATGATACCTGGCATGGTTTTCCAGGACACGAAGTGGAGAGGAAGCAAATCGAAGATCCCACATCTGGATCACTGGTAACCGGTCATCCTCAGAGGCAAGGACCATCTGAGTAGCAACATCAGGATGCCACGCCAACCCAGAGCAATGCATCTGCAGACAGTTAAGGTTCACATTTTATGAATCAAATTACTTTATGAAAAGTAATTTGATTACTCAAATGAGAAATATGCCTTTATTAAAACAAATAGTAAAAAATATCAGCTTTGCCTTATTTTATTTTGTTTATTTTTTTTTTTAAGACTGTGTCTTGCTCTGACACCAGGATGGAGCACAGTGGGTCAATCTCGGCTCACTGCAACCTCCGCCTCCTGGTTCAAGCGATTCTTCCGCCTCAGCCTCTCAAGTAGCTGGGACTGCAAGCGCCCACCACCATCCTCGGCTAATTTCTGTACTTTTTAGTAAAGACAGGGTTTCACCGTGTTGGTCAGGATGGTCTCAATCTCTTGACCTCGTGATCCGCCCACCTCTGCCTCCCAAAGTGCTGGGATTACAGGCGTGAGCCACCTTGCCTGGCCTACTTATTTACTTTTTCAAGATACTCTCACTCTGTTGGCCAAGCTGGAGTACAGTGACACTATCTTAGCTCACTGCAACCTCTACCTCCCCAAGGTTCAAGTGATCCTCCTGCCTCAGCCTCCCAAGTAGGTAGGATTACAGGCGCAAGCTACCATGCTGGCTAATATTTGTATTTTTAGTAGATATGAGGTTTTACCATGTTGGTCAGGCTGGTCTTGAACTCCTGAACTCAAATGATCCACCCACCTTGGCCTCCCAAAGTGGTGGGATTATACGCGTGACCCACCGCACCCAGCCTTGGTTTATTTGAAGGAACAAAACAAAATAAATGTAAAACTACTAAATTTTATTGAACATCTTAAACTGTAGTCTTAAAAGTAAGATATCTGAATGTTTTCTCAATGAATCCAGCTATTTGATACACACAAAACCATTCTGGGTCAGAATAACTGTATACCAAAAATGAGTTTCACTATCAAAACTATAAGAAACATTTCATGACGGGCGCGGTGGCTCAAGCCTGTAATCCCAGCACTTTGGGAGGCCGAGGCGGGTGGATCACGAGGTCAAGAGATCAAGACCATCCTGGTCAACATGGTGAAACCCCGTCTCTACTAAAAATACAAAAAATTAGCTGGGCATGGTGGCACGTGCCTGTAATCCCAGCTACTCAGGAGGCTGAGGCAGGAGAATTGCCTAAACCCAGGAGGCGGAGGTTGCGGTGAGCCGAGATCGCGCCATTGCACTCCAGCCTGGGTAACATGAGTGAAACTCCATCTCAAAAAAAAAAAAAAAACCAAAACATTTCATTTTATTTGTTTGTTTGTTGAGATGGAGTCTCACTTTGTCACCCAGGCTGTAGTGCAGTATGGCACAATCTCAGTTCAGTGCCACCTCCATCTCCTGGGTTCAAGCGATTCTCCCACCTCAGCTTCTCCAGTAGCCGCATTACAGGCATGCACCACCATGTCTGGCTAATTTTTTGTATTTTAGTAGAGAAGGAGTTTCACCATGTTGCCCAGGCTGGTCTTGAACTCCTAAGCTCAGGCAATTCGTCCACCTCAGCCTCTCAAAGTGCTAGGATTACAGGCATGAGCCACCACGCCTGGCCAGCAGAGAAAGCATTTTTTCACATTTAAAATACTTTCAGAGAAATGGGAAAAAAATAGTTAAAAGATTAATACCCAGAGGTTGGGCACGGTGGCTCATGCCTGTAACGCCAGCACTTTGGGAGGCCAAGGCAGGTGGATCACGAGATCAGGAGTTCGAGACCAGTCTGGTCAATATGGTGAAACCCCGTCTCTACTAAAAATATAAAAATTAGCTGGATGTGGTAGCAGGTGCCTGTAATCCCAGCTACTCGAGAGGCTGAGGCAGGAGAATCACCTGAACCAGGAAGACAGATGTTACAGTGCCAAGATCGCACCGCTGTACTCCAGCCTGGACGACACAGCAACCAAGACTCCATTAACATAAAAAAATAAAAAAAATAAAAAAACCTAAAAAGCACAAAAAGATTAACACACACACAAGACACAAGAAACCCCCACATTTTTCCTCTATTTTATCAGAAAAATCGAGACAAAATATCTTTTAAAAACTTATTTAAATTTTCATATGGGATAAATTAACATTATTAAGAACTATTTGGAAATTCAGATTCTATTAAATGTTCCAGAAAATGACTAAAATGCTGCTGGTATGGTTCATTCCATTGAAACTTCTGTTTTAAAACTGCTGATTCACTTGAAAACAATACTCTGAAGAAATGTTCTCCCAGTTTTTTGTTGTTATTGTTGTTTTTAAATTACATATGTATTCTCTGACTTTTGACAAACTTATTTTAGAAAATGTCAAACTATCCAATGTAATCGTAAACAAAAACAAGGCTCTTAATTATATCTAAATTATTTTATAGTACCCAATTACATAAAAAAAATTAAGATACCTACAAGGTTCAGAATTTAATGTGGTCTATGGGCAAGGGCCAGAAAGATATTAGCTCATTTAGCACTGCCTAATCAGAGGAAGAGATGAGGCCAAGAAGTCGAATACTACAAGTTCACAGTGATGAAGTTTCCAGCAGGAAAAATTTCTATATTCTAAGAAAAGCTAAAGATGAATTAAAAAGTTGCAGCAATGGTCAGGCATGGTGGCTCACACTTGTAATCCCAGCAGTTTGGAAGGTCAAGGTAGGCAGATCATGAGGTCAGGAGTTTGAGACCAGCCTGATCAACATGGTGAACCCCCATCTCTAATAAAAAATACAAAAATTAGCTGGGCATGATGGCTCTTTGCCTGCAATCCCAGCTACTTAGGAGGTTGAGGCAGGAGAGTCACTTGAACCCGGGAGGCGGAGGTTGCAGTGAGCTGAGATGGTGCCGCTGGCACTTCAGACTGGGCAACAGTGAGACTCTGTCTCAAAAAAGAAAAAAAGTTGCTGCAATGTTTTAAAACAGCAAAGCAAAAAACAACCAGTATATCATGGAATAAGTTCCTTGATTAACCAATCTCTCTTCATCATTAATAATATCCAACATATTTATTGAGGATTTTATGACTTTTCCCAGAAAGGAAAAAAACCAAACATTCATTCTAACAGGATTGATTAATGAAAAAACAGGATTTGACTTCACAGAAATTTGACTGTTGTCAACTCTGACAAAAAATATAGGAATACCTACAGCAGAAATACAACATGTTCATCACAAGTCAATTATATACTTACTCTGTTACTATGGTCACTGACTTTGATGATTGGTTCATTTTTTCTAAGATCCCATACGGTAGCCCGGCCACTGGGACTGGCTGATGCTAAAATATGCTGAACTTGTCTGTTCCATGCAATGCAGCTGATATCTTCCGGAGGCTACAAGGAATAAACTGTTAATAAAAACTGTTTCTCCATTATAATGAAATTTAACTGCAAAATTGGACCATTCATTTTGAAAAGTGGATTACTTAAAAATTTAATCCATTTATCCCACAAATTTGCTTTCTACTCCTACATCTCTACATTCTCAGTACATACAATAATACAGTTTAAAGCGCAGGTACATGCCACTTCAAATGTATTATCTTGTTTAATAATATCTCATTTAACAAGCATTTGATTGAATTCCTGCTATAAACTGATATATTCCAGGTGGTACTGTTTCTTAACTTTGCAACTGCTGCAAGGTAGATCATGGACCACAAACTAGATGTTGGTGACTATGACAGAAAACTAGGCAGGGCAAAAGTTACAGCCTAGACTATTAGCAAAATATAAATGGTAGTGCGTGCATATGCTATCATTATGCTACCTCTCAGATTGCCAAAATGTTAGAGCCAGTTGCAACGGCTACTCAAGTTAGAAAGCCTATACAACATAAAGAAACTCAAGGAAGACTAGGGGAAGACTGTTCTTACCAAACTTACTAGAAATACACAAGCAAAGGGCTTGAGGTTATTTATTTTTAAACCTTGCCTTCCATGGTCTTATCTGAGTATTTCTGTTTTTTGTTGGTTTGTTTGTTTTTTTGAGATGGAGTTACACTCTTGTTACCCAGCCTGGAGTGCAATGGTGCGATCTCGGCTCACCGCAACCTCCGCCTCCTGGGTTCAAGCAATTCTCCTGCCTCAGCCTCCCGAGTAGTTGGGACTACAGGCACGTGCTACCATGCCCAGCTAATTTTTGTACTTTTAGTAGAGACAGGGTTTCACCAAGTTGACCAGGATGGTCTCGATCTCCTGACCTCGTGATCCACCCACCTCAGCCTCCCAAAGTGCTGGGATTATAGGCATGAGCCACCATGCCCGGACTGTCTGAATATTTCTAAAGAAGTTTAGTTGTTGCTAAAATACAGAGCAGCTATCACACAAAGAACAAAAATAATTATACTATTAAGGATTTTTGTTCATTTTGCCTAGTACAATGGCCAGTGTCTACCAGGTGGTAGGTGCTGAATAAATATTTACTCTTGAAGGACGCACTGATACTCTGAAGAAACATATTTACTAATATTTTACTGAAGAAAAACCAGTAACATCTAAACAATGATTTTAAACATATATGTTTTGTGTGAGAAGCCTTAAAAGTGAATTAAGCCTTAAAAATTAAAACTTAATTTAGCTTTAAAAGAACTACTTTTTGCTTTTTTTATTACAATGATCAAAATCAATATAATACCTGCGTTTTGGCTCCTGGTGTCATTGGAGTTGCAAAATTATTTAGATCCCATATGTAGATTTCAGATTCATTAGCACCAGAAGCTACCAGATTAGTCTGTAACAAGAAACCACAACTAAATAGCACTTATGAATAATTAAGAGAATTCAGAATAACTCAGTTCAGAGCTAGAAAGATAGTAGATGTAGCATATACAATTTTTCCATTTAATTTAAAAAGTGAAAAACATGCATGAATTTCTAAATTAAGTATAATTATTTCAAAATTTAAAGTTTTCTAGAAAAAACATAAAATTCTACTTAAAGACAAAAGATGTCTACTAATTTTAATGTAAGATATTATTTTAAAAACTATATGGCTATATTCTTAATCAGTCATGCAACCATGTAGGAATTACTGTTTATATCTCTGCATCTCTGGAAAGAGATTTAATTGTAAGATTCAAAAGGTTATCAATTATTGCTTTCAGAAAAAGCTGAATCCTAAAACTCTGGCATCTTTCTCAGGATAACTCAAAGCCAGCTTCCAGAGCTGAATCAATACAGCACTAGTAAAATCGCTTGTCATAACTCTTCACATATTTCTAGTCCATTTACACTCAATCTTGTTCCAGGTGGCAATATTTCTGGGTTTTCTCTGTTACATACCTTAAGGGTCAAAAAGAACTTAAAATTGTAACATAAAGTACAGGAACATAATGGGCTTCATATACTGACCTTCATCTTATTTACTATTTACTCTTACAAATTATTCTCTTTTCAACTGGCATATAACTAAAAAAAGAGAGAAATTCTATGGTAGGAGCTACCTATAACACAAAATACTTTACTAAAAATCAGCAGCTATTTAATACAATTAACAAAGGAGTTAACTAAAGAGCAGACACCACAAAGTATAGAAATGAAGGGCGGGCACAGCGGCTCACGCTTGTAGTCACAGTACTTTGGGAGGCCGAGGCAGACAGATCACTTGAGCACAGGAGTTCAGGACCAGCCTGAGCAAGAGGGAAAAACCCCGTCTCTACAAAAATTAGCCAAGTGTTGTGGCTCATGCCTGTCATCCCAGCAGGATGACAGGAGATCAAGACTACAGTGAGCCATGAGCCACTGTGGTCCAGCCTGGCCAATGGAGCAAGACACTGTTTCAAAAAACAAACAACAACAACAGCAACAAAATAAACAAGTTGGGTTTCTGTATTGCTATATCCTAAGTATTTATAATATAAGAAAAGAAACTATTTACAATTTTCTTAATACTTAGTTTTGGTTGTTGTAATCTAGTATGCTCTTAATTCAAGGTCTTTTTTTTTTTCCCAGACAGGGTCTCTAATGTGTCACCCAGGCTGGAGTGCAGCGGAATGACCATAGCTCACTGTAGCCTATAACTCCTGGGCTAAAGCCATCCTCCTGCCTCAGCCTCCCAAGTAGTGGGGCATGTGCCCCCATGTTCTGCTAATTGTTTGCTTTTGCTTTTTTTTTTTTTTTTTTCTGAGACGGAGTTTCGTTCTTGTTACCCAGGCTGGAGTGCAATGGCACGATCTCGGCTCATCGCAACCTCCGCTTCCTGGGTTCAGGGAATTCTCCTGCCTCAGCCTCCTGAGTAGCTGAGATTACAGGCACGCGCCACCATGCCCAGTTGATTTTTTGTATTTTTAGTAGAGACGGGGTTTCACCATGTTGACCAGGATGGTCTTGATCTCTTGACCTCGTGATCCACTGCACCCGGCGAGACAGTCTTGCTCTTTTACCAGGCTGGAGTGCAGTGGCGTGATCTCAGCTCACTGCAACCTCCACCTCCTGGGTTCAAGTAATTCTCCTGCCTCAGCCTCCCAGGTAGCTGGGACTACAGGCGTGTGCCAACATGCCCAGCTAATTTTTGTATTTTTGGTAGAGACAGGGTTTCACCATGTTGGCCAGGATGGTCTCAATCTCTTGACCTTGTAATCCACCCAACTTGGCCTCCTAAAATGCTGCGATTATGGGTTTGAACCACCACGCCCAAACCACCCTGTTTGCATTTTTTATAGTGACAGGGTTTTACCATCTTGTTCAGGCCAAGATCTTTATTAAGCTGTGCACTCATATAATTAACATCCAGTAATGTTTATGAAGGCAACAGTACAAAGATCTTAATTGACCATTTGTTAAATCTGCATTACATTTAATTTCTAATTATTTCACAAAGCAGTAATCTCTTTGTAATAAATACAAAATTTCTCAATTATTAAAACAGTGAATTAACCTGGACATCATAGCACCAGCCTAACACTGACCTAGCACAAACTTTTAAAAGGCAAGGTTTCCAACCTATGGGGTTCTTAATGTTTGTAAAATGTCTCATCAAATGGCATGACATCTTCAGACTTAAATCTATCAGCCTGATCCTTTTCACTGAGTTAGTATTTTTAACCCTGATCTCAACTCTGAACCCACAATTCTTTAAAAAACACTTGTTCGGATCCGAGCCATTGCATCAAAAATAAATAAAATAAAACAACAACAAAACACTCATCAACCTGTATAGCCACACATTTTTTTTAAGCTTTCAGTTCCAAAACTGAGGCACAGTAGTCATATATTTATTTCTAATGAGCAGCACATAGTCTAAGAATTATAAATAAATGTCAAAGTCTAACCTGGAAAATGTTCACATCCAAGGCTCTTACTGGGCCAGTATGCTTGTCGTTCTGGGCAATCACAACATCCTTTTCTCCAGCTATAATTTTAGAAGGATCATAGAGAATAATATTTCCATTTTCACCACCTGCAATCAGAACTCCAGAGACATCTCCTTTGGAATCCATTTTATAGGGTCCCCAAATCAACTTGTGGTACCTATAGAAGAAAATGAATTTAACTCATTCTTAAAGTCAAATAAATGTACACAAAAATTTGAAATTATACATTTAACTTTTTAGGTTTTTATAAATAGTTCAAATACATTACTTCTTCTCCACTCCTGGTAACTATGTATGGCTTTGGTGTAATAGTATTTCATTTTTTATTTATACTCATATTTGCATATTTTGATTTTATAATCCTTAAAGAGCAAAAACTCTTGTAAGGTAGTGTAACAAAGTATACTTGAGTTGTATGTCACAAGCTATGCTTAAGAATGATTTTACCATTTAGAAACTGTGAGACCCTAAGTTACTTAACCTTCTTAAATTGCCTCTGGTTCATTGTAAAATAGAGCTAAACAATCACTTTCCTTGAAAAATAAAAACATTCTTTATTTGACTATAGAAGGGTCTCATGGTTTGACCTTTGTCAAAAAGATAATAAAAATAAAAAAAAAGAAGGGTCACTAACAAGTAGTCTTTTAAATAGTAAAAGTGTTAAAGGAGTCACCTGAAATTTTCTAAGAAAAAGAATGTATTCTAACAGGAGAAAAGTGACATCAAAATTATATTATGACAAGTACTCCTACTGTTGGAGAATAAAATATATGGTCTAGAATGGAGATACAATATGAAGGCAAAAATGTATACAATGATACAGATGGTAGTAAGTAGAAAAACTGTTAGACAAGAGACCAGGCGTGGTGGCTCCCAGCACTTTGGGAGGCTGAGGCAGGTGGATCACCTGAGGTCGGGAGTTTGAGACCAGCCTGATCAACAGGGAGAAACCCTGTCTCTACTAAAAATACAAAATTAGCCAGGAATGGTGGCGCATGCCTATAATTGCAGCTACTTGAGAGGCTGAGGAAGGAAAATCACTTGAACCTGGGAGGTGAGCTGAGATTGTGCCATTGCACTCCAGTAGCCTGGGCAACAGGAGTGAAACTTTGTCTCAAAAAAAAACTACTAGACAAAAGTTATCTGGGGTTCCCATCCTACTGTGACAGCTCTGAAGAAGATAAGAGGTCCCATGAAACTGCATGATTTGAGCTGTTTTCTATCAGCTAAAGAACAATCTCTTTAAACCCTGCAAAGATATTAAGGCAATAAAGCTTACTTTATTACTCAAATGAAAGTGTTCTTTCTCTACATTAAAATAGGGAATAAGTACTTGAAAGTAAGATCCAAAAACCTAGTTACCTAGTGAATTAGAAATCATGTCAACAAAACTGTCTGTGAAATATATTTCTAAATATAGTAACAGAAGAAAATAAAAATAAGGTACCATTCAGAGGTAATCACTATTAATATCTTAATATGACTACTCCTTTTTCTAGTCACATCTACCGTTTTGCAAACAGGTGCAATAATGGAGACAGGAAAAAAAAACTCTACCACATAATAAGAAAAAAAAAAATGCTAGAAACTACAGCCTCTCCTTCCCACCTTACATATAACAGCAATAAAAAAGTCAACAGAACAAACTGGCTGGACACCAGCACTCTGGGAGACAGAGGTGGATGGATCACTTGAGGTCGGGACTTCAAGACCAGCCTGGCCAAAATGGCAAAACCTTGTCGCTACTAAAGATACAAAATTAGCTGGGTGGGGTGGCGCACACCCGTAATCCCAGCTACAAGAATTGCTAGAACCTGGAAGGTGGAGGTTGTAGTGAGCCGAGATTGTGCCACTGCACTCCAGCCTGGGCTACAAAGTGAGATTCTGTGTCAAAAAAAA